GTGCATGCTGGTGTGTTTGGTTGACCGGGAATGTTGAGGAGGGCGAATGGTGTATCCGCCCATGTGTTTGCTTCTGCCTTGGTGTTCATGCTGAAAGTTGATGGTAAACAAGTAAAGGGTGATGAGGGTGAATGTCGAAGAAAGCTACGCATGAACGGCACATCGCTGAAGCCTAGGTATAGCCTGGCCTTCGAGGCTGATGTGCGATAGGCGCTGCTTACTGCGCGTACGCGAATCTGTATGGCTGAACGGTGTACGCTCCAGATTTTCTTCTTCGGGTTAGCAGGCAATCCTCTTGCCAGCTGGCGTAAGCAGTACGCTCCTTATGGACAATGCGCGAAAGAGTATCGGAATCTTACACCCCTAATGCTAATGACTGCGCATTCATGTTCTTAACGCCTCGGGGATTGAAAAGGATTGCGCTCGGTGGGATAAACGGATTTCTAGTCAGGACTCTGCGCAGTACATCTGCTGATGCCGTGCTGCTCTGCCGTGCTGCTATTGCTACTGCGCAGGCACATCGCGACTGCTGGACACTGGCACAGGTGCTGTTTGTTGAGTGTCTAGGCATTCATGACCGTACACCTCTGGTAAAGGTCGCAGCGCGCATCTCTGGTCTGAGACTGCGCAACTTCTGAGAGGCTTTGAGAAGATTCGGCTTCGACTGCGCTGGATGCTTTGGTGTTGGGAAGCCCTGGCATTCGCGCAACAGGGAAATGAAGGGCGAACTAGAGCCTTGGCAGATGACATAGCTTCTCGGTCCCTATCTTGAGCAACTTCACGGCGGCGTGGCACCTCGTTGTTTCATCAATACCACCGAACAAGCATCCTCCCGACTGCTCGCCGTAATCCGCGCATAATGACGTTGTGAGAACAGCGCCCCCAGGAGTCACCATGCGTAAGAGCAGAGGGTATGGAAGCGCAATCGCGGAAGCAAGCGTAAGATGTTTGCAGCCAAACGAACAATTGAGCAGCGAGCTCATAACAACGATGTGTTCTTGGTTCCACGCGCCTCATGGCACGGACGGTAGATCTGCCGATCGTTTGATCGAGAGAGATGACCCCACGCGTCCGCCATTTCAACTCACCAGCTTCACCAAAACTGATGAGAAGGGACCACAGCCATGCAGAAGACCCTGTTCTGTTTCAATAAAGTCTAGACCTGTTTTTGTAACCTTGTTTCTTGTCCACAGGCAGACATCATGCAGGGCCAATCCCCTGTACCGCTCGCAAAAGAAGGAAACAAAGAGATGTCTGTAACGGTCCGTCACCCACAGGGGGTCCCTCATTTCCTATCTCCACACCTTGCATCACCGTGCTCCCGACCCCACGGTGATCACTTACAACTCTAATGCTTAGCGTATGACATAGAGAGAGGTAATATAGAAGATGGGCCGCTCGCTCATATTCTTCCCTCGATAACCGACCATTCACAACACTAAGGAACTCACTGCTTTGGCGCATTGACTTGCAAAGGCTCCCCTTCACCTTTCTTTCCCTCGAGTACCGACGAGCGCCAAGTTCTCCCATTACCGACACTCAACCTGCTGTACCACATCTTCTCCACGTCCCTACCTTCGAAGTCGGATCTCTCAGCCAGAATGTACACCCAAATGCTCTTCAGCGCGTTTCTAGCGACGGCGCTCGCGGCACCGCTCGTTCAACGGCAGTCACCCAAGACGGGAGCCAGTGACAGCTGGCAACCCGCATCCGACACAATTACGACATGCGACCCCGAATCCCAAAAATTACTCAGCTTCACAGCTGATCCCAAACTCGAGACCATCCTTAACAACGCCTGCGCCGCCATGATGCCCGGTTGCGCCTATCCAGACCGCATCCCCACCGGTACGCTGTGTACCGCGACCGTTGACTACCCACTCAACGGCGACAAGAACAGCACACAGGACGCCAATGTAGTGGGTAGCGATGGTAACAGAATTACCGACTATGCTGTCAGATGTAAGAAACTCTTGTCCAATTCCCAGCATCCAGATGTACTAACGAAGGTCATAGTTGATGTTACCCCAGCTTCCCAACCCGAGGACTCTGCGGGTGTCTTCTGGAAGGTCGAGGATTGCTACGGCTACTTTGCTCGCATGCTTCAGAAGGAGGGAAAAGAGGGATGTCACAACAGCGTCGGATCTGGTTCCGGTAATGTGACGGTCGGCGGTGATTCATCACTGGCTGGTACCATCTTCAAGGTCTCCATTGTTCCTACGGAGAGCTTGCAATAGCTGTTCATTTTTACTTTCTTGTTCATTTTTTTAGGGTATTGCTGAGCTTTGGCGTCACGATAGGCGCGTACGGATCATGGATCAAGCGCTGTGCGCATTGGCGTTCTATTGTAGCAGTCCCGTTGCTATTCATTTTATGATTGTCACGCTTCACGTCAGAAATCGGTGAGGTGTGCATCTTCTACATTGTTCCTGCCACACCAGTGTGAAATTGTAGCAGCCGCATTCACTATGAGTTTCGGCAAGTTCGACTGCTTTGGACGTGCCGGTACGCCGTCCTTTCCACCCAACGCCTCCAGATCACTCGCACTTGATCAGCAGCTTAACTCGTTAGCTTACTCAGGATTCATACACAGTATCGCCTTAGTTACAAAACGCGAATCCTCTGAGCACAATGGCGCACGATTACCGCTCACCACTCGACAACGCGGACGAAGAGCTGGTAAAGTACAAGAACCCGTATCTCAAAGGCATGGGAGATCAGAGCATATGTACCATCTGGCCGACCGATGCGCCTACAGACTACATACGCAGCGCCACCGTCTTCCTCGAAGCCGAATACGCAAACTCCGATTCGCCAATCCACCAAGATCCTCCGCTACCCATCCCACCAGATCCCGACGACAACTCACTCAGACCCCTCAAAACCGACGACGATGTCTTCGACGCTGCTCGTATATGGCTCAAATGTCCTCTCGATCACGCCATCGTGATGAAATATCCTACTCAACTCGTGCAACTCAATGGGTGGGTGGGCTACAGTCGGGTAACACTCTATTATGAGAAGTTCATGGGGACACACCAACCGAGATTGCTCATGACTATCAAGTGGCTATGTCCAAATACACTGGGTGGCATCGTTGAAGGCGACACGATCGATCGGCAGTGGGTGGACGAGCCGAAGGCCTACAAATGCTCATACGTTGCTCTTTGCGATTACGACAACCTCGTTCTTTTAAGGTTCGGAAACGTCTTGGGGATTGAAGTAGTTCGGGTCACCGCCGTTCCAAGAGATAGTATGCGTCTGGCGTTCTTGGGATTCCTATTTGAAGCGTGCGATGTTGTTTTGGGTGAGCCAGGTAGTGGCCTGTCTTGATTCGGGTCTCTTCTCGTAAACTCACAGCTCACTAAAGGACTCCTGTAATGGATAGATGGCTAGGCAGATCAATGATAGCTGTTAGGTCAAAAACAACCCAACTTCTGCACAAGCCCTGGGACTGTCACGAAGCTCGCAAAGCCTTTACATGATCTAATGACAGGACCTAGCTTCGGAGGGTTCCATAGCATCCTCCATAGGCGAAACCAAGCAAATATGGTGGTGTAGAGCACAAGCGACGAAGGCGGTGATGCGGCTCCATGCCAAGTCGGCGCATACGTCATCACCAGCCCTCGGTCGCCCACCCCTGTCCCCAAAACACCAACCTCGTTACTAAACAACAGCTGCGGTTGCCGACAGCCGCAACATCTCGTAATGAGAAGAAGAGCCGGGCACCTCCGCTACCACATTTCGACCGAGGAAAAGAGTCCGCACGCTTGGCAACACGTGCATACCGATGCGCGTTCACGATGGTTCCTGTCGGTCCGGGAAAGGTACCGGCGACATGCACATGTGTCCGAGTCTGGACTGTTTATGAAAGCGTGGTACTGTGTAGTGGCTTGGGAGTGACGTGCCACCAGCCACAGTTTTTTATGTCAAGTAGAGGGAGGCACGTCCTTATTGCAAAATTATTACCATCCCTGCCTTGTCTACACCATACACCATAATCTCTAATACCAACACACGTTGTGAGCTTATTCGAAATGCGCGTCGCCAGTACCGTCCTCGCTCTTTCCTCCGCCGCCTCAGGCTTCATCCACCCGCGTCAAGCGTCCTACAATGAGACGAGCTCTACACCCAATGTCGCGGCCGCACAATATGACGGAACCTGTTTCTACCCTGTCCCTGATTCCAAGTTCAACTTGAACGCGTATCTCGGTACCTGGTATCAGGTCGCTGGTACGCCATTCGGTCCTACAGCCGGCGCGCGCTGCGTGAGCGCAAATTACGAGCTCAACGTACGTATTTCCCTGTATTCGAATCTTCTATGCAGCAACTGACAGCCGATAAAGGACAATGGCACAGTGCGCGTCACGAACACCGCGACTGTCGGCCCACGAACTGTCGACATTGTCGGCACAGCTACGCCCGTAGACTCTGCCTATGGCACCGGCGGTGCTTTCGTTGTCAGCTTCCCTGGCACGCCATCAACGGCAGAATGCCCGGGGCCAAACTACATTGTGCAAGGTGAGTCGTGTTGGGAGCATTAATTGAAGTGCACGACCACTAACGTTGATGCGCAGATTACGCAGTCGATTGGGCGATTGTGCAGACGCAGAAGTGGAATACGCTGTACATCTTGAGCAGGGTACGACAACCAGCCGCTGAAAGCATCGATGCATGGATTGACCGCGCTGTGGCTTTCGGATCGAACGCATCCTCGATTATGAAGTTCAACCAGACGGGTTGCGAGTAGGCGTAAGTTGGCAGGGAGGAGATGAGGATTTCATTGCGGCGACGTTGATGCGAGCTATCGATTTATGCAGAGCCGCGAAAACTTCATCACATAACCATCCAAGAGAAGGGCAAATCGACCATCTGAGCACTCAATACTCCAGGGATGCATGTACAATAGAGAGTGTATACATTTTCCAGGCCTGATGCCGACCAATGGGTATCCAATTACATCCAAAAAGGACAACAACTCCGGTTACGCCTAGCAAAGCTTATGACACCTGTACAGCAGACACACTGTGATCTTCAACTTCAACGCTGCTCTTTTTACCGCCTTCCTCGCCTTTCTCGACTACCATGTCCAAACCCAGACCCGAATCCACGCTTGTCTCAGAACCACTTCCCAGCTCAACGTACTCTGGCCGAACATCGGGGTTGGACGGGTCCCAAATGATGGGAATATAGCGCTCATCGTCACGATACTGCTCCCATAACCACAGTTCGGGTTCTCCATCTCCACTAGGGCACCAATCATCCCACGCGAAGTCTTGAACGCTGTTGAACCATCGGAGAATTGGAGATGAAAGCTTAGGAAGCCATGCCTTGCGTTCCTCGTCGATCTCGCTTATCATTTTATAGTTGTGACATTTCGGATGACGACGGACAATGGCAATGTTGAAATCGATTGCTTTGACGGAAAAGCCACCCGCTGCATCGCCTGCTGACTGAGTTGGAAGGCTAGTGATCATGATGTTACGAGAACAGAAATCACTGTTGTCGACCCCTGCGTGGAGTATGACCATGTCGACATCCAGAATCTTTTTTAGAAGACAGGACCGTGTCTGCTCTGGCAATGCTCGGGCATCAATATCGCGCATAGTCGCGCCTCTTACATACTCCATCAGAATCAGAGGGACCTGCCGCTTGCGTTTCTGAGTCTCACCTCCGTTGTGGATGTGAGTATCCACCAGTATAGTCCAAGTTCCGTAGAAAGCAGGTGTGACTTCCCGGGCCGCTGGAGACTTCTGTAACTGGTGAAAGGCAGCAGCCTCACGACTGTAATCGGAGAAGGCATCATACACAACGTCTTCGTCGCCACCATACTCGTTCACATCTTCGTAGTAGAGCGGGTCGTAGATTTTCGCGACCATGTCATCGTTGATGACGACGAGTTGTGCTCCTCTGTTTTGACCGGTGCGGATGACCGCCGTGATTTTCAACGTCTTTACGACTTCGAAAGATTGATCGTCGCAAACGTGGCGTAAAGCGCAGTACTCCGCTTTTGATTGAGACTTCCGGTTCTCCCAAGGTAGACTCAATGGGCAATCCGTTTCATATCTTACACCAAAGGGCTCCGGGGGTTGATGCCTTGTTGCAGTCGTAGTGAAGCCTACAACATACGGCAACTTCAGCGGAAGTTGGATGGCAGTGTCGTATGAATCAGATTCGCTCGCCGAAGGTTCAAATACATGTGTTGGTGGTGAAACGGGGGGATCGGAGAAGGGGCTGCAGCCACCGTTGTCGGCTGCAGGGTCGCTGACGACATGCTCAACTTGGTTTTCGGCGACTGCCATATTTTGATTATGTTGGGGTCGGCGGTGTGGTTGGAAAAGAAGGAAGAGAAAGTGCAAGTGATGGGAGCGCAAACGCAAGCTAGCGCGCTAAGCCCGACTAACCGATGACGCGCCATCATGTGATATCACAGCCGCCACGGAGCGATTCACCAGCATTATTTCTTGTGCGGTATTGCTAAAGACAATAGATAAAGAGTCCGCAGATGACCAGTCGCCGGCTAATCGAACACTAGCCTTATGCCTGGGTAGAGTCACCTACGTGTGCTTTCCAATGTCTGCGACGCCTACGTAAATACGGCAATAGTCCGCAGCACAATTATTGTTCAGTAGCTCTATTGTGGCTTAGAGAAGTCTGTTAAGAGTATTCACTTTAATGATACAACCATATCGCGTGATTGAGTGGATCTTGGGGCCTAGAGGACCTCGTGAGCTTAAGCCTTAGATGCGACAAACGGTCGTCATATATTCTCTACTGAGCTGACCACACTCTTCTCAACCGATACACCCGGGTCATCAGATCATCGACCTGAATAACCCCTTCGACATCCAAGATACCCAACCCTTCCTCAGTATCAGTCCACTGAACATCCACTATGGCGTCCGAGCCCACAAGCCTCATTGAATGCTTCGACCAAGAACTCCCAACTCTCGATGCACATCCTATGCCATACAAGAGCGCGAAGCCCTCTGGAGAATCGACTAGATTGGCAGTACCACCTCTGATTCTGCGCCATGTGTCTTGGAAGCAGTTCTCAGCCTTAGCGGACAATACCCTTTCTTCACTCACAAACAACCCTCAAAGCGAGAATTCCATCTCTACTACATTCTCGCAACTTCCGCTCCAAAGTGAAAGCGATGTTGTTTACGCCTCGTTGTTGTACGTCGTCCAACCCATCATGGAGATACTCCAAGTCCTGTACCCCAATCAGTGGACAACGCACACCGAACTGCACGATAAAGCCTCTGAGAAAAGGGAGAGCCTAGAAGATCCAAAAACAAAAGTAACGAAAGACGTAATAAGTTATGACTTGGTCTTCAAATCCACCACGCAACACCCCAACCCAGGCAAGACCATCGCCGTGATCGAATACAAGCGCCGAGAGCTCATTCGCCATAACGATTTCCAGGATGCGATAATCCCCGATAGTTCCACTCCTGCTCAAATCAATAAACTCAAGAAGCAGAGTCTAGACATGGGGGATCAAGGTCTTCTAAAGTCGAACGCCCTCTCCTACTGTAAGCAAGTGTCTCGCTATGCACAGATATCGAAGTGCAAGCATGTAGCTCTCTTCAACTGGCAGCACTTGCTTCTCTTCGACTTCCATCAGCTGAGTGCTAGCATGAACGGGAGTTTTAAGAACAAACCGAACACGTTCGCTGCGGGAGATGAAGCCAAGATCTCCTGGGTCTGCGAAGGAGCGCCACCAGTACCTTTTATGGAGCAGGGTTTCATCCGGAAGGTATTACTGGGCTGGATAATCAGGGCATTCGAAGACTCCAGGAACCAGTAGAAAGCGTCGTCGAAGCTTCTAGAGAGCTTCATGGAGACCACCTGGAAGCGCACGAGAGGCGACGTAGGCGCCCTGGTGATGTGTAGATTAGCGTACGAGGATTGATGATACCCCGAATGTACACGCGTAGAGATACTTGCCATCAGCGTCCACAAATAAAGCCGATCATAATACATGTACTCACACAATTTGCCGTCCCAGAAGTATACGCGACTAAGTTCAAGCTCTACTCCTTACAATGTGGCCGTCAGCCTACTTATAAGATCATCATCACGCCCTACTACCAACAGTATCCTTGACAGCTCCAATTACGGCCTCATTGCTCCCCTTCTTCAACTCTCCAGACCAATCAATCCCAGGACAAGCCTTCCTATCCCCCGCATCCCTAACAAGCGGCACATACTCCTCCCTCTCCCCAAAACACTCCCACAGCCACTCATTCGTCGTCTCCGCCTTGCTACCAACCCACCCCTTGAACGCAAAATCGCCCATCGCATTCCAGAACCTCGTTACGGGTCCCATTATCCTACCCGGCCACTGCTGTTGTATGTATGCGGAGTCTGAGTCGCCGGGATGGGGTTCGCTGAGCCGGATGACATTGGAGACGTTGAAGTCGATGATGACGATGCGGACGCCTGGGTCGTCGAGGGAAGATGTGGGTGATGGGGAGACGAGCATGACGTTGCGGGGCGCAATGTCGCGGTGCAGGATACCGGCGGCGAAGATGAGGGACTCGGCTTCTAGGACTTTCTTCATGATCGCCGAGCGGGTCTCTACAGAGAGCAGTAGCGGCTTTATGGCGGTCATAACAGTACCGGGTATATATTCCATGAGTATGAGCCGAACGTGTCTTGTATACATCTGGCCGTCCACCACCGTGTTCACGTCAATAGTCCAGCTACCATAGTACTCCGGGACAACGCGCTGCGCTTTAGGATCTCGTCTTAATTCATCGTACGCGGCGGCTTCGCGGGAGTAATCCCCGTCAGATAGTACGACAACGTCGCGCTTGTCGTCGAAGATGTCGAATTCGTCATCGTAAAGCGGATCGTATATCTTTGCTACTATATTTCCGTTGACTAAGACGACTTGCGCACCGTATATAGAGCCGGTACGTATTATGTCGGTGATCGTAAGCGTGTAGGACTCTTCGAGCGTACACCCTCCAATTGGCGGTCGGATAAGGCAGTAGTTGAGCTGCGGTAGTCTGAAGTGACCTGTCTTGAAAGGCGGCCATGGAGTGTTGTAGCCGTTACCGAAAGGCGCAGGTGGTACGTGACGGTGGGCAGTGAACGTGGCGCCTACCGTGTAGGGCATAGCAGGTCTACCGGTCTTGTTGTACGGGTAGTCAAAATTTTCGAGATCGTTGCTCTTCTGGCTCCCCACACGACTTTCTGATTTACTATGAGCAATGTCCAGTGACCTAGAACTGCGCGTTGAGGGCGTCATACGGCGGGAAGAGCTCGTCCTCATGGTGGCTGGCGACTGGTATCTTGGGCGTTCGACCTGAGAGTGTAAAAGTAACTGTAAACCAGACTAGAGCAATCGGCCATGCGCCATTTTCGCAAACGAGGGTGAGTAGTGAAAGCGCTTTTCGTGGTTCCTGGTGAAAGTGAATCGACTTTAAAGTTATAGCTGAAACAATGTTTGGTGAACAAAACCCTCATTTGATCGTGATCCCGAGATACCAAGCATAGAATCTCCCTGGATTGTTAGTACTAAGTGTTCGGGGAAACGAGAACGAAGAGAACGGCACTCCAGAATTCGACAGACTTTGAATGATACCTCATCCAAAGACCGGACGTTGCCCTACAGTAGCATCTGACTTCGGCACCTGAGAAACAGGCTGTGGAGGAACAAGCTGAGGACCCCATTGCTGCACCGGCTGCGGACCCCACTGCTGTACTGTCGGCTGACCCGCCCATTGCTGCCCCGGCTGCTGAACCCACTGCTGTCCCTGCGGTCCAGTATAAGGCGACGGCGGACCAGGTGGCTGCATCTCATACACACTCGCAAACGCCGCATATCTCCCCTTCCCTCCAAACGCCCACTTGACCCCTCCTCTCGCCCGTACAAGAACCCACAAACTGACAAAGACCGATAACGCAGCGACAGCCAGGGCGATAACCATGTACCTCATCGCCTTCGCAGTGCCACATGCCGTTCCTGCCCAATCTTCCTCAGGGAAGAATTTGTCGATTTGACATGCCCACGTCTCTCTCGTGTGCTCCTGGTCATCTTGGCCAACGTCTTCGTAGCCCTGCCAGCTACTATCGCTACTCTGGACAGAGGTGACGTATCCAAAGACGCCCAGACTAGCACCCACCATCACGACATTACTAACGAAGATAATCCACGTCCACATCCTCTCATGTCCCGCTGTGCCCTCTGTGCGCCTCAACTGCCATATCCCTGCCGCGCTGAGCAGACTGACAAGATATCCTAGCAGGCATAACGCGAGTATGGTGATTGTGGGCGCGTTGTCGGTATCAATCGTCACGGTGGTATCGTTCGAGCCGGGGCGGGACAGAGTTATCTGGGACGCGCCGCTGCGTATGTCGCGACCGAGACCGTCGTTGAAGTAGTTCTTGGATATGCGCTCGAGGATGTTGGTCAAGGCGGCGAGGCCGAAGAGGAAGAGAAGGGGCGGTAGGAGGAGGAGTAGGATGCGGATGCCGTTGGGATTGCGCATGTTCGTAACTCTGCGGTGGATGGCGGCGTCTAGGAGGTCGCGATGAGCTGATACGGGTTATATTTGGGCGCAGAATGTCCCTTTCTCACAGCTAAAGGCGCGCGAGGTGACAGTCGAGCCATCGTGACTCGCTGGTGGCGGTCTGGGTCGAGGCGTGGACGCCTGAAAGCAGCGTTGGGGGCGAGCCTTGCTTGGCAAACCTACACGTCTGAGAATAGCCTTGCATCCTGTATTTAGCGAAGTGACGCTGGATCAAAACGAGCCGCAAAGACGATGACACTATGTCGCCAGAAGTCGCGTGTTCCACTGTGGCATCGCGCCGCGTGTTCACGTGGTTGTGGGGCAGCATCCCGTCGGGCCGTCCACCGGACGATACAATACGACGATGTACGAAAGCGATAATAGACGGATATTATCTATTGAGTGTACTCCGCCAAAGGCAGAGAAACAGGCATTCTATATGCCAAAGATCTACAAAAGTTCCAGCCTAGCGATCTAAGAAAACGATTACAAGTATATGCTCTAGCGTCCCATAAAATCCAAACGCCGTGTATGCAAAATAGCTCCCGCTCATTGGAACTATTGCGGTGCGCCGATAGCCTGCAACTTCGCCAGCTCAAAGTAAACTCCCTTCTTGGCCACTAAGTCCTCGTGTCTGCCCTTCTCTACGATCTTGCCTTGGTCAAAGACGTAGATGACGTCGGCGTGCTGGATTGTGCTCAAGCGATGCGCGATCGCGATTGTAGTGCGGCCTTGTGCGGCGGAGTCGAGGGCGGCTTGTACGACGCGTTCGGAGGTGGAGTCGAGGGCGGATGTGGCTTCGTCGAGGAGGAGGACTTTGGGGTCGCGGAGGAGGGCGCGGGCGATGGCTATGCGTTGGCGCTGGAAGACATGTTAGTGGGGTTGAGGGACATGGATGAGTAGGAGAACGTACCTGGCCACCAGACAGTAGAGCACCCTTTGCGCCGACCAGCGTGTTGAAACCGTCAGGTAACGATGTGATGAAGTCGTAGATGTTGGCGTCTTTGCACGCTTGTATCACCGCGTCATCGCCCAATTCCTCCTTGTCGGCAAGAATGTTCTCTCGGATCGTGCCAGTGTAGAGCGTTGTTTCTTGACTGACAATGGCTAATTGCGATCGGTAGTCTTGAAGGTTGTAGTCCTTGACCTCCACGTCATCGACGAGTACGGCACCGCTTGTCGGGTCGTAGAACCTCTCGAGCAGTTGCATCACCGTCGACTTGCCGGAACCGGATGCGCCGACAAGGGCGATGAACTGGCCAGGTTCAGCAGAAAGACTGATGCCGCGCAGAACACGGTGGTCCGGCCTTCCAGGGTAGGTGAAACGAATGTCCTGCAGTTCGATCTTGCCGCTCAACCTGTCAATCTTCTTGCCCTCGGTCGACCAGTTGTCAATCTTAGGAACGCGGTTCAGGAATGACTTGAGAAGCTTCGCTGCATCCCTGGCCTCGCCCATGTCGGGGGCGAAGGAGAAGATGGCACCGGCCGACTGAGCGCCGTTGATGATGGAGGAGTAGACGACGAAGAACTGCAAGACAGTGTACTCCTGGTTGAACAAAAGACGTCCTCCATACCAGAACACAAGAGCGAAAATGAACATGCTGAGACCCTGGGATGTCGCGAAGAGCACTGCAGACACGTTTGTGAACTTGAAGTAACCCTTGCCCTGGTCTGCAAGCTTGGTGTGGTACGTTGACAAGAGATGCTTCTCCAGCGAGAGAGAGGCCACGGTACGAATAGAAGAGGCGGCCTCACAAGCGAAGCTGGCGGCATCGGATGTCTCCTTGGTTCGTTTCTCCATGCGAGTGAGAGCATAGAATCGGAAGTAACCACAGGCGATGACAAGTGGAATGGTTGCAGAGCACACGAGCGCCAGCTTCCACCCGAAAGAGCAACCCACAATGAAGGCGACAAGGATGGAAGCGGCGGCGCTGACAATCGTTCCGAGAGTAGAGCCACTGAGACCGGCGAGACGATTCGCTTCTGAAGACAGGAAGTTGCTCAGCGCACCAGAAGTGACCGTGTCACCATCGAAGAACTCCATGTCTTGACGAAGCATGGCGCCGAAAGCGCGCGTTCGCACGCTGCCAACAAGCCTGGCAGATCCTTTCGACAGTGTCATACCCTGTACGTAGTAGAAGAAGCCGATGACGATTCCGAGCATGAGGAACATGCCACACCAGAAGTTGACGTTGAGTCCACCGAGAGATGTTCCAGGAGATAGAAGCGAGTTGATGGAGTTACCCAGGAAGATGGCTTGAATGGCAGGGTTGCAACCAGCAAGGAAACTGAATACCAATCCGATGGTCATGGTAGAGTGCTCGCCCTTGTTCATCTCCCAGGCGAACTTGACCAACTCCCAGGTGCCGTATTCCTTGTCTTTATCATCCTTCTTGGCATGGAATTCCGAAGGAGCGGATGTAACAGTGCGCATCAGAGCAAGCTTTTCTTCATCAACGACGCCTTCCGTTTTACTCTCAGGGTCGTCGAGGAGCGTCATCCTGTTGGCGGGGCTGATCTTTGCGGTAAGCTCCTGGGCCTGTACTAGACTTGCGTACACAGCTCCGCGGTTGATGAGCTCTTGATGAGTGCCTTGCTCTATAATTCTGCCCAAAGCCATGACCACAATGTTATCGGCCTTCTTGATTGTGGAGAGTCGGTGGGCGATCACAATGGTCGTACGTCCTTGCGATGCGCGGTCGAGAGCTTCCTGGACTGCGCTCTCGGAGCGGGTATCGAGAGCTGCGGTAGCTTCATCTAGGAGGAGGATCTTTGGGTCCGATACAATAGCACGAGCAATCGCGACACGTTGCTTCTGGCCACCAGACAACAAGCCACCTCGCTCTCCAACCTTGGTTTGGTATTTCTCCGGAAGATCCATAATGAAGTCGTGAGCGTTGGCAATCTTGGCAGCCTTCTCGATAAGTTCCATCTTTTTCTCGTCCGATACATCTGCGTATTCCGTGTTGACCAAGCCATGGAGAATGCTCTCGTAGATGGTTGTGCTGAACAGAACAGGTTCTTGGCTCACGATAGCCATGTGTTGCCTCAACCAGCGTAGGTTGAGTGTAGTGATGTCTCTTCCGTCCAAGAATATTTGGCCTTCCATCGGAAGGTAGAAGCGTTCCAGTAGTCCAACAATGGTCGATTTTCCAGATCCAGATGCACCAACGAGCGCAATCATCTTGCCTGATGGCACGTCCAGGTTGAAGTCCGATAACACGACGGTATCCGGTCGGGATGGGTATACATGCTTCAGGTTCCTGAACTCGAGGTTGCCAACAAAGTCATCGGGTACAATGCCTGCATCCGTTTCCGGGTCGATGGGGGAGTTTCGTTCGATCGTGTTGAAAACTTTCGTAGCTGCCGCAGTAGCTCCACCGAAAGCCTGAATATGCGGCAAGTTTTGTCCAATGGAAAAGCCAGCAATCATGAGTGCCATGACTACAGTCAGGATGTTGGAAACGCCAAGGTCCCCATCATCGAGGAATCGTTTTCCTTGCCAGAATGCAAGGCCGTACTGGAGGTTCAGCACACCCATCATGCCAGCAATCATCATAGAAAGCCAGAACTTGGCCTTGAAGTCCAGCTTCGTAGCGCGGTCTACGAAAGCCTTGTACTTCTCCTCGAGTCGTTTCTGGGTGCCGTATGCAGCGACGTTGCGAGCTGAAGACAGCACTTCCTCGGCCAGGGAAGCAGCAGTGGCGTACTCGTCGATTGAAAGTGTCTGAGCTTTCTTCATCATAGTACCGTTGACACCCATCATCATAATGAGGGCTAATGTTGCGGCCAGCATGATTAAAGAGAGCTTCCAGGACCGTATAAAACCGATGATGATGGCAGAAACAAACATGGACACTCCGGTAACAAAGAGACCAATTTTCTGACCGATGCCATCTTGCACCAAGTTCATATCGGAGCTGATGCGAGTGGTGATCTCGCCGGATCCGAGGAAATCGAAGAAGGCGATGTTCTGTCTGAAGATGGCACGTAGGTAAAGTTCCCGAATTGTTCGTGTGATGCGCTCTCCGGTGTACGAGAATCCAATGATGCTGATGTAAGAAGTGACGAAAGATCCAATTCCGAGGTAAACGAAGTAGAGGGTAAACTGGTTGATCTGGTCCTGGAACTTGGCAGCAGCGACTGCATCAACTGAGAAGCTGGTAAAACTTCCAGCGAAGTTACCGTAAACGAGCTGAATTAAGTTAGCTCGAAGTTCCCGCAACTCGGATGAACATGTGTTTCCTTTTGGTGATCAAACTCAAAATCTACATGATCAAATCGTCCATGTTCGAGTGGTACAAAAAAAAAGTACGAAATGCTACTTACCGTCATGAGTGGCATGACAGCACCAGCTGCGATACTGGCGATTAACGCAATGACCATGACGACTTTGTCCTTTCCGTTGGCATAGCGAAATAGCGAGAAGTAACCGACTGTGAGGTTCGGCGCAGTCAACTGCCTGTCGATAATGTCCTTCTCTTGATCACTGAGGCCAGCTGTGGGAGGCTTGGCCTCCTTTTCCTTATGCAACTCATGCTTCTCGTCGATGGCCGCGGAGATGGCCGTTCCTGTCGACGTTGCTGAGTCCTCGTTATCCATGCTCAAGGCGATGAGCGTGTCTTGTCGTGTCGTTGCTGATACTTGGCGGGCAGCAGTCGAAATGCCTCCAAGAAGTCTTAAGGGGATGTCGCAAGGAGAGGAACAATAACTTCTCCTGCAATTCCTTTGAGATCCTTCAGCGCGCCACCCACGGGCCTAGAAGATTAAAGATCCTTGTAGAGCAAGGGCGAGCCGTTGTCCGAGCCGGATGTCACTAGGCTTGATAGGGCAAAACACACGATCTAAGCTTCTCGGTTGGGTGGCGATAGACCCGAATGTGGATGACGCAAAAGCGCGGACTCGTTTCGTCCGGGGGGCTGGAATACGGCCGATACGATGGATGGATTGCGCAACACCAAGGCGCGAGTGCGAGTGCGAGGCAACTACAGATGACACGGCACTGACCAGACAAATAACGCATGCGCCAAACGATGGCAGAACCTGACAAAACCAGAATCGATGGAAAGTCGATAGTCGTGCTTGCTTCTGTTTGTATTGAAAATTTCAAGGAGAGCGAGATGCAGAGGCCCCCCATATAAGAGGTGTTGCAAACATGTCTGCCTGAAGTTGATGACAGTCATCGTCGGATTTGGCGCATAACTTTCCACTCCGGTGTGCTGGATACGTACAATGCTGTACTCACCGATACGAGCAGCCCGCAAAAGGTTTGTGGAAGCGAGCGTCTCGGGTCCGGCTAAAGGCCGGTCGTCGGAATAGATGAGCCGCCGATGGCAGCGTCCTGGCTCCTGGGCTGCCTGTGCCCCCGCGCACTGTTATAAAAGAGCGAGGTGCTCGGATTTCGTTCACGTCGGACAGAACAACCCCCGATAAGAGGCCTCTTTTTATCCAATCATATATGCGCAATTGCATATCGGATTCGGAATTACAACACCCGTGCCATATTCACGTTATCGACAGCTTCTCTACACTGTACCTAGGTAGTGCCAAGGCATATGCCATCGAAGACGCGTCAACACTTAACGTCACTGCATGTCATGTGTGCGACAGACGCGGTGACAGAGCGAAGCAAGAATAGTGCGCTACTTACTAGGTATACGGGATACGATATCAAACCGCCCGAGGCATGCACTACGACTGGGTTCACACTGAATGGCATACGAAAAACGCGATACTCACACCTAGGTACCACCTCGCACAACAGAAAACTAAAGAGGCCTGCGGCCTACATCAAGGTAAAAATATGCAAAGTAGGCAACCTAACGTCAACGTAGGCTCCAGGGTTTTCAGTTTTTCAGGAATGCTTCGATTGCTTCTCAAGTCACCCAACCATTTGCTCGTCTCACTGATCTTCAACTATGTCCATTCGTCTGCATCCCGTCCACCTCCCTCCACGACTGAGCATATCCCGCCAAACTCCTCCTCACAAAGACAACCTCCTTCTCCTTGACGTCACCACACGCCGCACATACCAGACGCGCAGCGCCGCAGTCGCCAAGGGCACCCCATGCAGTATACACCTTGCAATAGAAACACACCCAACCATAATGTCTCGCATCTTCCCTTGTTGTAACCTGAACCTCGAAACAAGTGGTTGGTATATTGTCTGTACTGGAATTAGGTTTGACCACATAGTGCCCATTGGATAGGGAAGTAGTAGTTACCCAGGCTCATTGAACCAAGCTGCAGATGGAGTGGGACATCCCGGCAGGCTACATGGCCGCACCGGCGTAGAGAAGCTGAGACATGGCAAGACCCAGGCGTGTTGTAGTGTGAGCTGCGATGACAGATCCATCCGCGTTGTGCTGGGCTCTCTGTGCGAGCATCTCGGACCGCAAGTTGCACGAGCGCTAGGTGGGCGGCTTTAGTGAGATCGCAAGGGATGTTGAGGATTTCGCGCTCTGGGTAGGGGTCAGCGACTTCTGTAGTGTGGGCGAAGAGAAAGGGAAAGGGACTTACTAGTGGGTGTCGTCATATTGCTGTTGCTCAATTAAGCGGGTGGTTAAGTTGTAGCGATGGTCTATTGGGAATAGTGTTGGAAGTATACGTGCATCATGCAGCAGAAGCCGGAGACTTCATTGAAAGCGAGAGCAAACGCAGTTGCGACACTATCCTAGCGTGATCTGGACCTTTCCACGTGCTGGTAGCTACTTCGCAGCAGGAACAATCCCGTTGCACCTGACGTATACAAGCACGTCGCCCTTTCGCTTCCGACATCAAATTGATATTGTACCTGCATACACGGAGCGCTCACTCGACATCATGGACGTCGTCAGCAGTATGTATACCTCAACTGTACCAACTACTCTCGTACTAACCCTACGCAAGAGAAAGATATACTAGAGCAGGAAAACTTCACAGCGCAAAGAATCATGCTATTCGCAGTCAGACAGTCTGCAGAAATGGCCCGAAACGTAAGAGCCTCTTCCTTCACACATTCCTTTACTCCTCTTACCCAGGTCAAGACATTGACACTACGCAGTCCAACCCCCCTCTCCGCGGATGGGTCTGTCACGACTGCTCACACTTCAACGTACCGGGCACTATAGCTTCACCCGGCGGCCCATGTCAAACATGTGGATTGCCGGTTTGCGAGGCGGAGTGCGCCGATGCAACTGTTACAACGCGCGACGACCGCCGCTGTTCGGGATACGCTTGTTGGTACTGCAAGTACTTCTATCCGTGGCCTGAGGACAAAAACGGGAACCGCATGCCAGGTAGCGTACTTTCTTGTGGTATTTGTGAGGACTTGGAAGAGGAGGAAGTGGTGTTTGTCAAGAGTTGGATTGAGGAATTAGATGCAACCAAGGAGGATAGGGCTGAGCAACAGAGGAAGGACAAGGAAGTTAAGAATGAAAAGGAAGACAAAGACGTTAAGTTGGACGATTTCGATGATGATCGAGGTGACTTCGTCGTAGTTAATAGGCGTAGGGGCAGATCAAATAGAGGGGCCGGAGGCGGGAGTACTGCGCAATAGATTGCCAACGCCAGGCGATGCGATATCTGTAGTCAAGTTTGAAGTATCTCGGACTGTAGTTTGGTGTAGTTGGACAATCCTCACATCGATGTTCAAGCGGCAGCCCAGGTGGTGACGTCAGTCCGCTGGCTCATCATCGACACGTGACTACTCATTGCGGTACTCTCGACCATGGGTGCTATAACCTAACAAGAGCTTGGGGACGCAAAGGCCATAAGTATGACTTGAACAATATAATATTTGAAGCTTTGCATAGATTTCAGGCGAACAACATTTACGCAATTGGCAGGCCCTCGCCCACCTATGGTCACAAGCGGCTAATTCGTTAGTCTTGGGCTTGGCGGCGGACAATGAGTGTGCGGAAGTATCTTACTCCTCGATCTACGCTTCAAGGGCCATATCAACCACCAGCTTTCCGCCCCGACCCTTGTGATACTCTTCTACAAGCTCGTTTAGCTTCGCTAGAGGAAATGAAGTCGACAAAGCACGAATACCATGTTCGGCGGAGAACTCGAGCATTTCACGAAGCACTTTGTTGCTTCCTACCAAGCTGCCGATGATCCTGATATCCCGAAATACAACGTCGCGCGAGTTGATGTGGAAGCCCTTTTCCGGGAACGACACCACAACGCACGTGCCGTGCGACTTGAGCAGGGCCATGCCGTAGTCAAAAGCAGTCTGGCTTTCCGGCAGGACGATCACTGCATCCAGCCCCATCTCGCCAATGTCCTTCTTGCTGTCTTGTCTGCCGATTTCCTGAACGATATCCGCTGCCTTCTTGTTCCGAGCGTCTACGATATACGGCTGTGGATCCAATTTCGAGGCGACATCTTGCGAAAGCTTTAGAGGCTCATCCGCTGCCTCAATACCCAGAACTTTGTACCCCATCTTCACGGCGTATTGTAAGCCCAGATGGCCAAGACCACCACCTGCTCCTAGTATGCCGACTCGGTCGCCTTGCTTCAGTCTGCATTTTTTGAGGGCTCCGTATATGGTCACGCCGGCGCACATCAGAGGGGCAGTCTCTACTGCGGTCAGACCGTCTGGTATGGGTGATAGCTGTCTCGCATCCACAACGGCATACTGCGCGAACCCTCCGTCTTTGCTCAGCCCTTTGTTCTCAGCATTTATACAGTTCACCGAGTAGCCTCCTTCATCCATGGCGACCGGATCATCCACGCGCTCGTTCTTGCACTCGAAACATGAGCCACACGCATGGAAAGAACGCCCCGGTACGCCGACCCTTACGCCAATCTCGAATGCGCTAGCTTCCTTGCTGGGCGTCTGGAAATGAGCGACTACCGTCCCTGCGAACTCGTGGCACCCGATGTGAGGGAAAGATTTCGGCAATCCTGGCATCTGTCCTTCCGCTAGGACATAGTCGGTATGGCAATACGAAGCAGCGTCTACCCTGATGAGGATGTCATGCCGCTCCTCCAGCTTCGGAATTGGCACTGATCGTAGCCTGTATGGTTCCTTGTAAGCCTCCAGGTACTGCGCTTGCATCGATTCCGGCACAGTAAACGACATGGTATTTTGAGAACTTCTCGATTTGATACGGAGCGGGCAGTTGCCATTCGACTTCACCTGGGCAGAGTCTCAATCTATATACCTTCTATTAACACTGACGGATTCAGCAGATCTCGATATCTCAAAGGAGTTGACCCCGCGTGCGGGGTAGTTGACAAGGTGGGGCCGCAGGACGGATACATGCGAGCGATTTCCCCAACTACGCTTTCTCCAACCACGATGTCATATTTGGTGCCAAATATGGCTTCTTTGGAAACATCTCAACTACCAGCTATTGTCTCCTGTCATCCACCATGGCTTCCAGTAACGACACCGTTGTTCTTCCAGCACCGGCTCACGATCAGACCTACGTTACCATCTCAGCCCTCGAAGCCGGCCAGCTTACCCTTCCCGAGAGATTGTTCGTCACAGATGCCGACCCAGAAAGACGTGCGACAGTCCCATCTCTCTCTTTCCTGATTCGACACGGTGCATCCAATCTCGTCTTCGATCTCGGTCTCAAACGCGATTTCTCTGGCTACAGGGAAGCACAACAGCATCATATAGCGCAACGCCAGCCTACCAGTGTCAGTCCGGATGCAGCTGACAGCCTGCGAAGGGGTGGACTTGACCCAAAAGATGTGGACGTGGTGATACTGAGCCATGTTCACTGGGACCATGTGGGTACACCGAGCGATTTCACAAACGCGCGATTTGTGGTCGGAAGTGGGACTATGCATCTTCTTGCGAACGGTGGTGGGCCACTTTATCCATCCGAGATATTCAACCCTGATGAGTTGCCTGCCGACCGAACGAGTGAGCTACCACCTGTTCGCAAGGCAGAAGCTCTACGCGCATTCAAGAACCAGTTGGAAGAACTTGAGTGGAAGCCGCTGGCGGGGTTTCCGGCCTCCATAGACTTCTATGGAGATGGATCGTTATTCATCATCGATGCACCAGGTCACTTGTTCGGACACATCAACCTTCTCGCTCGAACAGGACCGGTGAAATGGGTATACCTTGGTGGCGATTGTTGTCATGACCCACGCATCTTGAGCGGCGAGAAGGGTATCGCGCTCTACGACGATGGGAAAGGTGGTTTGAGAAGTGTGCACGCTGACACTGATGCTGCAGCCGCTACCGTACAAACGATAGCAAGGCTCTTGAAGCAAGGGACTGTTCGTGAAGAAGATGGAGGCCCTGTAGAAGTAAAGGTGATTGTAGCGCACGATGGAAGTTGGGCGCGGGCGAATAGGGCGGCGTTTTGGCCCGGGCATCTTTGAACGGTGGCTGAGCAAATGATATCCCGCGCATATAGTGCACCTCAGCACGGCTCCGTTCGTAAAAGAGTTTTGTCCGACCATATATCAGTCGTCGCAATATTCGCGCTCTCGTTGACCTATAGTACTGGTAATTTGCATAATTTGTAAGTTATGATTGGTTCGTGGGCATGCTGTACCTACCTAGGTAGGTCGACGCGCTGTGTCACGTGATTACCTCACGGGTACATAGGCTCTCCTTCCTTAGTAGTTAGCACCTTAGCTCTTACAATAACAACTCATCACACCATATACTTCGCACGCTGACTCGGGTGATCACACCAACCATTGTTCAAAGAAGAATAAAACCAGCGCTACACGTCCTCCTCGTTCTGATTCCACGACATTCCCACGACACACCAACATTATTCTTATCGTGCACAACGACCCAACACATAAAAAAGCTCGAAAAACATTCACAAAACTCCGACAAGACATCTCCGTGCATCATGTGCAGGACTCCATCCAATCCGTCAGGGATGTACGATGGGTCGGCAGACAACACTATAGGTACGAAGCCTACACCACTGAGAAATCGGAACAAGACCAACACTAAGACTACGTGCAGGGGAAGGCTTTGAGATGCAACGGCAACATACCGAGGCGATGGAAGGCGTTACGAGGACTTGTGCGACCATAGTTGAGGAACGCAGGGCCGAACTCGAGCGGCGAGAAAACAAAATCAAGGAGCGCGAAGTTGAGCTCCAGAAATGCAGGGCGCGACTCCAGGAAGCCGAGACTCAAGTGGAAGTTGCTCGAAGCTGTCTTGCCACTATGGGGCAGAACAACTACGCAATACATCAGTACACCGCGGAGACGAACGACACCTATGCAGACACGGATCATGATAGACTCTCGAGTCACCCGGCGCCCCCTCCTTATTCGCCTCCCAACGATCTCGATCACGAAAGGATACCAGCAGCAAGTGACGCGCCGATAGACGGAGACACAGATCGACTACACCAGAGAGAGCGCGATCATGGAAGCAGCGACTCTGATAACAGCAGCGATGAACGCGACTACCATGAGCGGAGGAGAAAACTCATCGCAGAACTTCTCCCTCTTTACAGGGAGATTGGCAAGTCAAAGAATGAGCTGAGGAAACGCAAAAGAGAAGCACGGGCGCCCCAGGAGATGATCGGACTGCTTCGAAGACACATCAGCCTCATGGAACAAGCGATGGGTCCGCTGAAGCAGTTGGCGTTCGATGTTGGGGAGTTTGATCCTCTAGTTGATACCGCGATAGAGGCCGTTACGGGAGGACCGATATCCCTAGGATGGTGATCGTCGCGAGATGGGCAGAGGGTGTGAGGGTCGAGATGGTCAAGATGGAGTGAGCATGGGGGACGCAATACTTTTGTTGTTTTTGAACACAGTTCAGTACGGGAAAGGCTGTTAGTCCCAGGTCTTTTAGAAAAGAGCACGAGGATAGCCATCTATCAGGTAGCGAAACAACCTTGACCACAAAATCTCTGGGGATCAAGCTATCTCTACAGCTTAACAGTTGTGTTAGGCATGCTAGGGATTGAAAAAAAGGGTAAAAAGATGTAGATATAAGACAAGACATCGTGAAGCCTAAGAGTGGGAACGTAACTCTAGGTTTGGTCCCATACTGTTTTAATCATCATTCAAAAATCATACAAGTTACGCTCGGCTGGTTCGGCACACTGATCGAGTTCATCAAAGCGAAATGAGAAGTGAAAGAGAGAGCGCAAACATGACCTATTTGGAATAGTCTGTAAAACAGAGATCGCTAGCAAACGGACCACGTCTTTTGGGTGACACATTGTGACCACCGACAATCGCGCGGTCACACTATATTCGTCTTCTCCCCCAATTTGGATACCGAGCTTGGCTCTATATCTCGACAACGATCGCATCCGTTTGTCTGCTATTTCCCCCTTGGGGCTGATCCTAACGCCTTCGTATATACCGCCTCAGTCTTTGATCTTGGATATGCGCTCCTTCGCCTCGACCGCGCATCAGCACCCCTCCAAGTAACACTGCGCCTTCCCGAAGCCTCAGAAAATTCGTTGAACTCGATACTGCGACAATCGCTCATTCACAGCCCCTCCTCCACCACAATGCTAGGCCTCAGTTACTACCACGCTCAGATAGCGATCGCCCACTTTATCTGCTGCCTCATCGCCGGCCTCACAGTCTGCACACGCATTTACGCCAAAAAATCGACCAAACAAAGTCTTAGAAGAGACGACTATCTCATCGTATGGACCCTGATCGTCTACTGGGCCGCCATCATCGTCGCCCTACACGGTAGAACATGACCACTACAGTAGCTCCAACCATGCACTGACTCTTTCACTACAGAGAGCTTCACAAACTTTGGACCCTATACCAAAACCGAAATCCTAAACATGCACTTGACCGCTGCCTCCCCGCCGCTGATCCAATACCGAAAGGCCATGCTCACCGCCTTCCTCCTCGGAATATGGTCTCAATTCACCTGCAAACTCTCCATCCTCCTCTTCTACCGACGCATCTTCCGCACCTGCACCTTCCACCAGCGCGCCTCACTCTACCTAATAATCTTCACCTCGCTCTGGTGGGCCACCGCCGTGGCCGCCATGATCTTCGTCTGCCGGTCCTTCGTCATCAGCTCCCATAACCCAACTGAAGCTATCAAAGTGGCTGCCGAGCAGGGGAAATGGAAGGGAAAATGGCCGCAAGTATTCCAGGCTTTTCTTGCGCTCGACGCGGCTAATGATTTGGCTATCTTGCTTGTGCCGATAAGAACGGCGTTTACGCTGCAGATGGCAAGACGGGCGAAGTGTGAGCTTGTGGGTGTTTTTGCGTTGGGTGGGTTCGTTGTTGTTACGAATGTGGTAAGGATTGTTGAGTTTTATACGAGGCGGAAAGAGGATCCGAATGAGAGTGGGTCTTCCAAGGTTCTCTTGCTTTGATACTGAGAGTCGTTTCCGCTGACGTTGACCAGTTTTCTATCATGCCACAGAACTTTGGACCAGCATCCATGTCTGTACTGCGGTCTTGTGTGCTTGTTTACCAATTCTGAAACCGCTTTGGACGTCGGTCTCGACAAAGATCAGAACGAAGGTCACGGGGATGAGGTCGGGTCAAGACCAGGGTAGTACCCAGGGGAGCGAGGCGGCTGTTTTGGATAGGGAGACGCAGGATTGGAATGCTATCAAGAAGACAGTGACAGTCCACCAGACGTCTTCAGAAGCGTGAGGATCGAGCGGAGCGTCGCGGTTGGTAGCTAGGAAAGAGGGTTTGCGAAAGACGTTGTTTACACCAAATACACAACAACAATAACAACAACCTAAGATCTGGTACAGGTACCCATACTCTACCGTGATTCGGTCTGACAGAGATGAAGACGTGACGTCTTGGTCATCCACGTGGGAGTGGAGCTCCTCAACACGAGCCGCTTGAGGTTTAGCGTCCCGAAGAATTTCAAGCTTCGCGTAAACCCCAATCTGTCATTTCGCATCACTTAGACAATACACGCAGTAGAATCTAGTGGGGAGATTCTTGCACATAACTCGTTATCAAACCAAAGGTAATATGATCATGCACCATGGCGTGACATGAGGAAAAAAACACACAACGCCAGTGGATCCCGAAGCACATACCACCCAGGACCCAGGACCCGACTCTTCTGACGTCTCTCGAAACGCCGTTAGCACTGATTGCCGTTATCCGTAGATGCTCCCACCGATATCATGATCCCAGAATCGCCCCGCCATGTACACCTTGCCTTACCCTGAACTCCGGAAAAGAAGAATGATGGACTGCTGCCATCAAGTCCATCATGGCCTACACGAAGAAGGCATCCGGGAGGGTGGAAAGAAGAGCAAAGGAGACTACGGCACCGGTAGCACCAAGCAAGGGATAGGCAGCCTTGTTGAGAACCTTGCTGAGGACTGAGCGGGGAGTCTTCTTGGGACGCTGGGCAATAATGGCAGCCGCCTGGATTGCAGCATCATCATCCACTGGAACAGCAGCTACTGAGTTCGAGGTTGCATGCTCATCGCAAATGGCGGCCTTTGATACTTCGTCGAGAACGGCTTCTGGCTCGTCTGCCTCAAGCACATCTGCCTTGCGCTTCAAATCCTTTACAGATTCTGGCGTGGGCGGCTGCTCCTCAACGATCTCCTCGATGGATACCTTGGTACGGCGACCAGGCTGCACCGGCGGGGAGGTCTCGAAGTCAGGTACGAAATATGGTGGAGGTGTCTGCAGACGACTCGCATGCATGGGTTGACTAGGATAAGGAGCGAATTGGGGCATGGGAGCACGAGCCTCATTCGCCTCTGCCATTGGGGCAAGAGGAGCCGGACTGAACAGGGACGGTCGATCGCCAAAGTTGGTGCCCAAGTAGTTTGGCGGAACGCCCTCGGAGTACCATTCCTGAAGATCGGCCACTTCCCTGAAGGAACGATAGTTTGAATCGCACCATGGTGCTGCCCTGGACGCCGAGGGACGTGGCGGCAGAGGTGGAGGCGCGTTGTCTCCATAGACGTTACTGTTCGACATGGAGTTGCCGTCAGAGCCCTGCATACCGAACATGTACAAGCGTGGTAGCGACGGCTGTGTGTTGGCTACGTCTTGTGGCATGTATACGTCCGAGAGCGAAAGCGTGGTTGTATCGCGCGGGAAGGAGTGAACAGTCTGGGGTACTTGGCTGTGGATGGACGCCTCGTTCTCTTTGTTGGATGAGGATGTGGTGGGCTTCTTGTGTTCAACCTCTTCCATTTCCTCGTCTTCTGAATCCTGAATCTCGGGCTCGGAGTCAGACAGCATTTCGGAGCTATCGATGCTGCCAGCCTCGCTGTCCGAATCAGAACCAAGAGCGGCCACGTCTTCTTCATCGCTGGAAGGGTTCGGACTAGCAGGCTCGAGGGAGTCATCACGGCGGGACGCGAAGCTCTCTTGGTTGTAGTCCTCGTTGGGAAGAGTGGTGCGCATTGCGGACGTTGGGTAGTCGTCCTGGCCAACACTGAGAGTGTGGTCATGCTCGTTTGGGTGCAGGACCTGATCCATAATCATGGTAACCTCTTCTTGGTCGTCGGCCTCCGAGTGGTCATCGGCTGCGTCGGAGTCGTCGTCGATGACGAAAGGATCGATCTGGCTGCCGCGGCGCTCTGCGACTTCCTCTTCGTCACTCTCGGCATCAGGGACGGTGAAGCCGAGAGAGAAGGGGCGTGATAGCTGCGACTCGAAAGTGTAGGTGCGGGCTACGAAGAACTCTGTGTGGGTTGATGTCAGCTCAGCAGCTAGGGTAAGAGGAGGTTTGGAGGGCCTACGCGAGGACGTACCCTCATTACGGTTAACGTCAGTGCCGAATTGCAGGACATCGCCATCATTCAGCTTGGTAGGTGTGTTGGCAGACAGCCTCTGACCGTTCAGCATAGTGCCGTGCATAGAGCCCTTGTCGGTGATATAGACTTCCGGAACGCCGCTGTTTGCGTTGGCCGAGAGGACGGCGTGCTGTCGTGAGATAACGGGGCTGTCGATGAAGGCGTTATGTGGTGCCGCCATGAGCTCTCGCTTGGCCGCGTTGCTGGACGCTCGACCGATGGGGAACTCGCTGTTGAGTGGCAGGTCGAACTCACGGGTCTCGTACGTGTCGTACCGCTTTGCGTCCCGGAGGACGATACGGAAGACTGGGGTGTCAGTGAGACGGGGAAAGAACATGGAAGATGGTGCGATGAGAAGCCTACTTGAACTCATGAGGAGAGAGAAGGGCGTCTCGCCAGAGAGTGACGCGAATACAGCCTTGGTTGGGAGGCGGAGCAGTTGAGCGGGGTGAGGTTGAGCGGGGACGCTGTGTAGGTAGTACCGTGGGCCAGGAGGCAGGAGCAACCAGTAATGTGTAGATAAAGGTGCTGCTGGCGTGGAAGGAGTGGGAAGAAGGGTAAAGCGAGTAATTCACGCGAAGTTATTGCAAACCTCGCCGTCACTGTAGGCGGGGCAGAGAGACGGTCAATGGTGAGGCAGCCACCAGGCGGTGATGCTCCTGGTCACGACTGCCTTCCGGGGTACTATCAGCTTATCAGCCCGCAGTAGGGCGCATTAGTGGGTTTAGCGCAACGGGAAGGTTCCCCACCCTGAAATCTGCAGCGGCGCGACGAGAAAGTTGCTGCTGCGCTTTATTGTCACCCGGATAATGACTCACGACGCGACGACTATGCGAGACGACGACCGCTGCGACGACTCCCGGTAGCATCAACTCTCCTCAGCGACCCCGCACAACCACCCCCCGCCATCATGGAGGCGCCGCGCAGCTCGGCCAAGCAGCAGGTCGTGGACCGCATCCCCGCGCGCATCAAGCACATCCAGTTCGGCATCTACTCCAACCAGGACATCGTGAACCAGGCCGTCCTCGAAGTCTCGGACCGCAATGTCTACGACCTCCAGCCTGCCGCCGATGGCACGCGCTCGCTCACGGCCAACGGGCCCATGGACACGCACATGGGTATCTCGAGCAAGCAGGGAAAGTGCGGAACATGTGGCGAAGGCCTCGACAGGTGCAACGGCCACTTCGGTCACATCAAGCTTGCGCTGCCGGCCTTCCACGTGGGGTACCTGAAGCACATTATCGAGGTGCTCAACTGCATCTGCAAAGACTGTTCGCGCGTGCTGCTGGATGAGGTGGAGCGACGGAGATACTTGCGCAGTATGCGCCGGCCCGACATGGACACTTTGCGCAAGGGCGCAGTCACCAAGAAGATCCTCGACGACTGCAGGAAGAAGAAGACGTGCCCATACTGCAACGCCCTGCAGGGTACCGTCCGCAAGGTCCCCGGCCACCCGCTCAAGATCATTCACAACCGATACGATGCCTTCAACCGGTCTACCGCGAAGACGAAGAAGCCACCCGCCGGCAAAGTCGAGTTCGATCAGTCCTTCGATACCGCCAAATCCGCGAACCCCGATCTAGACAAGCACCTGAAGAAGGCTGTGGACGACATGCATCCGCTAAGGGCGCTCAACTTGTTCAAGAAGATATCACCAGAGGACTGCGAGCTGCTGGCCATGATACCCGAGGATGCGCGACCCGAGATGCTGATCTGGGAGTACATGCCTGTACCACCAGTCGCGCTCCGCCCGTCCGTGATGCAGGAAGGCGGCGCGACCGAGGACGACGTGACCAACAAGATCGGAGACATATGCCAGATCAGCAGCATAATACGCGCTGGGCTGGCGCGAGGATTTCCTCTCCAGATTTTGATGGAGCAGTGGGATTTCCTGCAGCTGCAGATTGCCATGTACATCAACAGCGACGCGCCTGGTCTGAAACAACAAGGTCTTCAGAAGACCATGCGCGGTTTCTCCCAGCGCTTGAAGGGAAAGGGTGGCCGATTCCGTCAGAACCTTTCCGGAAAGCGTGTCGACTTCTCTGGTCGTACTGTCATTGGGCCCGACCCGAATCTGAGCATCGACGAAGTCGCTGTCCCGCAGCGCATCGCGAAGAACCTCACATACCCCGAAAAGGCCACACGATACAACATTGACAAGCTGAGGAGATTGGTGAAAAATGGATCGAACAAGTATCCAGGCGCCAACTACATCATCAGCGATCAGGGACCAAATAAGGAGCCGAACAAGACGTCACTTATTGGTCTTTCGCGATTCGATACCACGGGCGAGAAGTTGGAAGCCACTTCGAAGCGACTAAGGATTGGTGACATCGTTGAGCGACACATTGAAGACGGTGACATTGTTCTCTTCAATCGGCAACCCTCCCTACACAAGCTCAGTATTTTGAGTCATCGCGCCAAGATTCGCCCTTGGAGGACCTTCCGTCTGAACGAGTGTGTCTGCAATCCTTACAATGCCGATTTCGATGGTGACGAGATGAACCTGCACGTTCCACAAACCGAAGAAGCGCGAACCGAGGCTACCGAGCTCATGGGTGTCAAATACAACCTTGCAACCCCCAAGAACGGAACGCCGATTATCGCAGCTATCCAAGATTTCATTACTGCAGCATATCTCCTCAGCAACAAGAACAACTTTTACGATCGACGAACGTTTTGTCAGATTGTAAACTACATGTTTAACGGAGAAGGAGCCTTCGACCCAGACACAGGAAAAAAGCACCCTATCGACATCCCACCACCAGTTGTATGGAAGCCACAGGCACTCTGGACCGGAAAGCAGGTCTTCAACCTGCTGATGAAGCCATACAAGGGGTGTAGGGTGTTGATCAACCTCGAAGCGGCATGCAAACAGTTCAAGAATACCCCCGATCAAGCTCCTGATCTGAATGAGAACGATGCGTATCTTGTCATTCGCAACTCCGAGGTCATGTGCGGTGTGATGGACAAGGCGACAGTTGGTGACGGTAAGAAAGACTCGGTGTTCTACGTCATGATGCGAGATTTCGGCCCCGATCACGCCGTGCAGGGCATGAACAGATTATCCAAGCTGTCTGCACGTTGGCTCTCCAACAACGGCTTCTCTCTCGGCATCAGCGACGTTACCCCCGGAGAGAAGTTGAACAAGAAGAAGCAGGATCTCGTCGAAGAGGCTTACGCCAAGTGCGACAAGTTGATCAAGGACTTCAAGGAGGGCAAGCTGCAGCGCGATCCCGGTTGCGACGAAGAGCAGACGATGGAGAACAGGATTGGTGGTATCTTGTCCGGTGTACGTCAAGCGGCTGGTGACATCTGTTTCGAAGAGCTCAGCAGATGGAACTCACCCTTGCTCATGGCCAAGTGCGGTTCCAAGGGTTCCAACATTAACGTCTCTCAAATGGTTGCTTCCGTTGGACAACAAATGATTGGTGGTGCTCGTGTCGCAGATGGATTCCACCACCGAACACTACCTCACTTCCCCAAAGCCGCTCGTCAGCCCGCATCGAAAGGTTTCGTCAGTAACAGTTTCTTCTCGGGGCTGACACCTTCCGAGTTCATCTTCCACGCTATGAGTGGTCGTGAAGGTCTGGTCGATACAGCTGTCAAGACCGCCGAGACTGGTTACATGAGTAGACGACTGATGAAATCACTCGAAGATCTCTCTGCACAGTATGACGACACTGTTCGGAACTCTTCCGGAACTGTAGTTCAATTCCAGTACGGAGACGACAACCTCGACCCTGTAGACATGGAGGGCAAGGCAAAACCCGTGCACTTTGACAGGACATTTTCTCACGCCGTAACGTCGACGTGGGACAACTCCGAGTCGGGCTTGACGCCACAGGAGGTTAAGGAGTACACAGAAGCAAAGCTGAATACCGAACGAAACAAATATCCCAGGTTCAAGCTCGATGGCGTAACGCCGCTGGAGTATCGCGACAGGACCGATGGTGGCATCGACCAAAAAGAGTCCTTGCGTGACTTCCTCGATACCGTGCAAGACTACATCTTCAAGAAAGCACAGAAGCTCGAAACAACTCTTGCCTACTTGGGAGTAGTGCAACCCGATCGCAAGAAGGACAGGAAGCAGTCCGCAGCCGATGCAGAAAAGTACGGCCTCGCTGATGGAATTGCGAAGATCTCGCACAGCGCGCTCGAGGCCTTCATAACACTTTGTCTAACCAAGTACCATCGATCACGAGTACAACCCGGTCACGCTGTTGGAGCTATTGGTGCTCAGTCCATTGGTGAGCCCGGAACGCAAATGACACTGAAGACTTTCCATTTTGCTGGTGTCGCTGGCATGTCCATCACCCAGGGTGTACCCCGTATCAAGGAAATCATCAACGCCTCGTCCGCCATCTCCACTCCCGTCATCGCTTGCGAGCTGTCCAACAAGGTCTCCGAATCCGCTGCGCGAATTGTCAAAGCGCGTGTGGAGAAGACCTACTTGCGCGACGTTATCTCCTACGTCGAAGATGTCTGGCACCCCAATGGTGCCTACATCGCCATGCGCATCGACTGGGACACCATCAACCAACTCTTCGTCGATGTCTCACCCCAAGAAATCGCCGCAGCAATCAACGCCCACAAGCCGCTCAAATGGGGCAAAGCCGGCGCCAACGTCCGCATCTCCTCCTCCATAATCCGCGTCGAAGTCCCCGACCCTTACGCCGCGAAAAAGCGCCCCACAAAAACCTCGCGCAACCACAAAGAATTCTTCGAGCGCGTCCAACAAGTCAAAGCTCTCATCCCCGACGTCGTCATCAAAGGCTACCCAGACTGTACACGCGCCATCATCAAGAAAGAAAGCAGCCCCAACGCCCAAGGCCAGTACGAATGCCAACTCCTAGTCGAAGGCTACGGCCTCCGCGACTGCATGACAACCCCCGGAATAGAACCCTACAACACAAAGTCCAACCACGTCATGGAAGTCAAAACCGTACTCGGCATCGAAGCCGCCCGCGCAACCATCGTCCGCGAAATCGGAGATGTCATGGGTAACATGGACATTGATCCGCGTCACATGCAGCTTCTAGCCGATGTCATGACGTTCAAGGGCGAGGTCTTTGGTATCACGCGGTTTGGACTGCAGAAGACAAGAGACAGTGTGTTGCAGCTTGCGTCGTTCGAAAAGACGCCGGATCATTTGTTTGAGGCGGCGGCGAGGGGCAAGACGGATACGATTGATGGTGTTAGTGAGTGTATTATCATGGGACAGAGCGTTAAGCTGGGGACAGGTAGTATGCAGGTTGTTAGGCCGCTGTATCTTGGGGCGGAGGAACTCAAGGTTAAGAAGACGTTGTTTGAGGAGGGGTGGGATGCGCTATGAGATGGCGTGTATGGGAAGGGGGAGAGGAAAGCGGAGATGTATATATGCATGGGATGGGCGTACACATGGCGTAATCTCTTTGCGAAAGTGAGGTTATATGCATAGCGAGCAGGTGCAATTCACAAATCCATTTACAAGTAGATTTAAACAAGTGGCGCAGAGATCAGTAATCCAAGACATGCCCAGGCGATAACACACATAACTCTACCTTCCGTCTTCTCGCATACAACTCCCCATTGTATGTACCCTGTATCCAGGCCTGCACGGCACTCAAAACTAGTCCCGAATCCTCTAAGCCCACCTAAGAAAATGAATGAGAACCTCGGTCCACACACTGTACTACACCGTCGGCGCCGTCCGACACAAAACGCGTCCCCTCTCCATCCACCGTTATCTCCATCTTGTCACAGTAAGCACGCACCCCAACAAAACGCAGCCACGCAGCATACACGCAACGTATGGCCAGCACAACGAGCGGCGTAAACCCCCGCCACAACCCCTCATCATACCCTGCGCGCAGCCCTGCCCCACAAGGCTGCATATCTTCACCCGCAGCCCGCAGGACGCAGCAAGCGCAGGTCGCCACAGACGCTCAAACTTTGGTTCGCTAGGCAGAAGGATCGGGTTCCCTGCTCAGCCCTATATTGCATGGCAGGAGGGAGCGTGGCAAGGGTGGTAATCATCGGTATCCCCATGGCGTATCTTTTTTTGCGCGAGCATTTGGTCCGTTGGCCCAACATACGGTGTAAGATGGGAGGTGGGGTGAGACCGTGCCGCGCGTTACTGCATTCGCGATTACTTGTGGCTGTGGTGTGGCTAGTGACCAGTTCACTCGGTCGGTCGGTCGTTGTGGAGATGTTGGCTGCGGTGTAGCCCTCGCTGACGGTGGGGGTGCGGAAGGCTGCGTGACTGGTTCATGGGACGGAGGGAGGATTGTTTAAGGTGTCCAGGGCCTAGAATCTGACCGTAAGTGGACTGTGCTGTGGCCTTGGTCGTCACGAGTTGCCTGATACATTCGTCCCTTTGCCGCGCTGCTCCTCGGTTGGTTCCTTCGGTTATAATGTACGAACGGTGAGATACTGGCGATTCAGCCTTATGGGCTGCAGGGCGCTGCTCGGCTGTTGCCCAACCGTTCCAACGTGCTTCGGCCGGGGAGACGACTTGCGCGTATCCCGATTAGTCCACTATGGTGTTGGAATGAATTGCATGGGGACAGATGACAGTAGCCAAAGGGCGAATGTTCTTGCATGACCAGCATGGAATTTGATTCAGAGCATCGTGCTCTGCAGACAGACTAACATGAAATCGCTAATACAGAACCGAAAAGTTGACAAGGAAAATTGCATGTATGACCCTAGTCGTACGTACCGGCGTAGGCGTAGAGATGACAAAAGATGAAACTGACTGCGAGGTCCTTCCGTGGCTGTAGCAGCCATCCGACTTCGACCAATGGAACAAGTGACGTGAATGAAACGACTGTTATACAAATGACGAGAATCGGGAAAGTGAGGATACAGGTACCTACAACAAGTATGGAGATGCGCGATGACCTCATTGAGGGAGGGCCGGGCCCATCTTGACAGTTATAAACCGCCGGACCTGCAGCATCGTGCGCAAGGCTTGTATCGTGGCGTCAGCACAGTCAAAAGGAACCGAGACTGCCGCTCTGACTGCATATAGCGCAAAGCACTTCCTCATCCAGGCTGAAGCCTGTAATGCCTCATCTGAAGAGGAGTGCGGTGCGAACCATGACGCCGCTGCGCCTACGAGAGCTACCCAGAGGAAAGCGCCAGAAAGGTCGAATCCCCAGCAAGTTTGGACCTCTGATTTGGCGAGAGCAGAATGCAGGGCTGCAAGGAGAGTAACGCTTTCGGAGCTAGAGCCAGATATGCTTGCGTGCATGATATTTGCCGAATCCGCAAGTGTTGCACCATGAACTACCGATCTACAGTAGATCAAAGCAGCAATACGACAGCTCTCGTAGATCCAGTCAGGCTGTGTGTCGTATTCTGCAGAGGGCAGTAGAAGCAGATCGGAATATATGTCTTGTAGTTCTGCGTCGCATGTCGCTATCTGGCCGCTTGATATCATATGAGGGTCACCTTTGTGCGTCCATCTTGCTAGGAAGATGTAGGTACACCTCTGCATCTTTCGGATGATGTCGTTGGTAGTTGTTGAGCCGTTGCGGTAAAGAGGGGGTATGTGCTCCTGGGAGATTAACAGCGGCGAGATCGGACTGTTGTGACCGACCCACGCTTCAGAAGATGATCGCGGTGTGAGCTCTACCGACTCGTTCTGCCCGCGACAGATGGCACAAGTGAGCATGACCCTTATCCAAATTAGTGGATAGCAAAGACTGAGCAAGTACAACTTACAAGGTCATGAACGTCGCAATGTTTGGGCCTAGCCCGTCTCGTCGACTCCTTACACAGGTCACCAAGCCATCCTGATGTACTCCAAATGCATCCTTTTCAGGGCTACCGATCTCGCTGATAAGCATATGGAGTATGCTGAGGATGGTGGTATCATCAGTGTCCAGTCGGCCATGAAACAGCCCCAGCATCCTGGTCCTCGCATATACAGTAAGATCACTGTCGTATAGTAGGCCGTCGTCGAGATCTTGATAGACCAGTGTCGCGTGTACGTGGCTAAGGAACGAAAGATGATTGCCGCAAACGTATTGCATCCACGCTTGGTCTGCTGCCATCAGTGAGTGTTCGATGTAGAGAAAGAAAGATACAAACCGTAACAGTAGAAAGTGGTAGTGCTAATCCATTCACGCTTCAAATCTTCCAACAGCTCATGCCGCGGAGCGTTACCCCCGGGGAAAGGGTACCCAGGAACCTCATCGAAGGCTCGGGCCTGACCATGAGGGGATGCCTCGGTGATTGCGGAATGTATCCGAGCGGCAAGCACTCGCACGGGGTGGGTAGATGGTGATGGTATTTGAATGCCGTGCGCATCTTGTTCCCACCCACTGCCATGATGTCTTGAGGAAGTGGCTGCCTGTAAAGCACTTGTTTGTGACATGCTGCTCCTACTGGCTGTCGCTGGGCTAGGTGTGCGTGTCGTGACATTTGGTGTGCTACTGCCTTCTCGACTGCCAGCTGTGTCCGTAGGTGACAAGGTTTCGCGGTGTGTATACATGACGTGCGACCGCACTTTTCTCATGATCTCCACCTCCTTGAAATCATCCGGGTGGCTGGCGACGACAAACTGGAATGGAGGTCCAGGTGCAAGGGGTGGTTGGCGTTGGCGTCCGACGCGTCTCTTAGATGCCTTTTGATCGCTGGATGAGGCCATGTCGAAAGTGCGGTGCGAAGTTGTAGGCGGTTCGAGAGCTGTGGAAAGAATCGAGTTGATGCTGCTTGAGACATTATGTATCGCGAACGATCTTAGGTCATAAGTAGAGGGATGTGTACGCAGTCGACAGATAACGTAAGATCCAGGTACCGTATGCGATGCTTCAGATCAGTGCTAACCTACCTTGAAGCCACATGCCATAGCCACACTGGGACACACCAAAGAGACACCAGTGCCGAACTGATCTCGGCTGTTCCCATACAACTGTGGATGGAGGTCCATGTTTCATGAACCATACCCAAACCAAAATAGGCCAGCATCGAGGATCAAAAGTGGACCTCGCAGCGTACAACGTGGACATTCTCTTTGCAGTGTGATCTTGATCAACTGTACGTCGCGCACGCCGGTATGACTACCCTGCCACAGTACATACCGAATCGATGCCAGGCAGTGGAGCATAGTCGCTTTTCCTAGCGAATGCGGTCACCGCCCATCGTCCCGTACGAAAGCCGATGTGCGCCACAAGCTCCCTGGCCCGCAGAACGTTGCGGGAGGGAAGGAGTAGCCTCAACGTAGTGTGTGGCTGATGCGTGCAGCACCATCATCAACGACCGAGCGCCGGGAACGTGGACATGCCTGCTACGGCATACAGACCGCTACAACATCTCTTGATGATGCCAAGAGTTTCTACCGAGGCGTACTGCAATGAAGTGAGACCCGTGAGGGAGACTCCAATAGGTCTCCAGATACTCACATGGGTATTTCATGCTAGTTTGGAGCAGCCAGACCGATTTCCTTACGCCCGCACACTCCGACACGCGCGATTTGAACCACGAAGATACGGCCAAGTTGTGCGTGAACGGCGTTGGCATGCTTGTAGATAATAAACCCATTTTCCCAGTTTAGTCTTAGTGTCCATTCATCCCGGTCGCTGCATATAAGCTGCAGGTGCACACGATGAGAAATGCACAGCTTCCGGTCATTGGATCGCTTTGAGATTTTGAGACCGCCTGTCCAGTTGCATCAGCCCGTTGTAATTGTAAGCTCAGACTGAGATTCGCAGAGACATTGGTCCGTCGAATGCGTCATAGTGTATGCAGGGGTAGGTATCCGCTGCTACACTATCAACTAGGCGCGTCTGCCGTGCCCGTATCGTTCAAAAGCAACGCTCTGAACATTGCGATCTTGCATGCAAGATGCTGCATGCTGCACACTGCATCGGAAATCGCGAAGTCTTGAGGAACGGGGCTGTGAGGAAGCGCACATGACGATTTGCTGCCCAGAAAAGTAGATATAGTCGATCACTTCTTCTTCAGTTGATGTGAAGCGCGAGTTTCCATTCACGAGAATTGCATTCGCCCGCGTTTGCTCGGGGTTGCCGTCGCTCTTTTGCTTTGTTGATACATGAGAGCTGTAAGCAGCAATGCCTCGGTAGGTAGTTAGGGCGAGTCGTTAACGGCACGAAACGTCTTGTGGAGATGTGCTACGTTCTTGCTAGTATTACCAACGGCGTAGTAATCGCGATGAAGTATATGGAGAGCTGAATGACGCTTCGTTAGTGTTCATTGCGTGCACAGCTGCAAGCTATGAGTAACCCGCCCTTGATCGTCTGAAGCTCCGTTAGATATCGTGAGCAGCAGTTCGACAGTCTTTCTCAGGTACAATCATGGACGTACCTGCGAGTCTTCATCCACATA